TTAATAATTATCAGTTACCTACCGAAATCTTTTAATTAAATATTATCTTCATTTCAAGCAATCACTTCAAACTAATCAGATAAGACTTACTTTTATTTTTACTTTTAGACTTTATACTTTATACTTTAAGTGTGCGAATAGTGATTTTTTATTCAATAATTTGATATTATTTTTTTATTGATTATTCGATATGAAAATACTAGAAATCTTTTCATAACGTTTTCGAAAAATGATGACTTATATATGTAGGTGTAGTTCATCGATTTATCGATTATATAATTCGAGTATTCAGACGTACCCATATAAATGGTAAATATTTAAAATCGAAGTTCATTCTACTTCTGCTATAGACCTATAGTACAAGCAGTAACAGTGATTTCTTAATTCAATTCTGTTAAATAATAAGTTTAAAGCTACAAAGTTGCAAACCATGGGTAGGGTGTTGATGTTATTGTCTGTGATATTCGTCAGCTTATATGTGACGGAACAAGCAAACTTTTTGCAAAAAGATTTCATTGACAATATTAATGAACAAGCGAGTACAAGGAAGGTAAGTAATTCATTTTTATATTTTATTCGACAAATGGCATGTTAAATTATAATTTTTTAAGAAAAAAATATATATGTACATAATGCTCATTAAAAATATCTATAATTCGCTCAGAAAGTGTCAAAATATATTAATATATTAATAATAATATATATAAAATATCGAATACCAAGTTTTTAAAATTATAATTTAAAACTTTGATGAAAATATCAAGTATTTTCAGGTATAATCGTTTTTGAATAACATACAAATTAAAAACTCGTTAGATGAGAATGATGAGAAGATATTGGTTTTTATACGAGATTATAATAGATCGTCAACACTTAAACTTCGGCGATCAAAAAAAAATATTTACAGCTTTCTAAATTACGCTCAACTTTTTTTTTTTTAAATCAATAATAACAATTTATAAGAAACATTGTATTAAATTTACAAGTCATAGGTATGAATATAAAAAATTGTATGAGTTTTTATCTTCAAAATAATTTGCATATTTTTGGGATTTTGGAGAATGTCGTCAATATTCTTATTTAAAAATCGAATAAATAAATATTTCCATTACTTATTTTCGATATTATTTAATTGTTATAGAATCATATTTGTATTTTATATTTTTAAAGTATTTGAATAAATGAAACATTTTTGTATCGTCACTTATAGAAAAACAAATTTTTTAACTACCACATGACGTCTGTAATATCAAATCGAATGCTACTGAAGCATAATTTTTACTTTATATCGTGTACAAAGACACAAAGAAAATATATCAACATCATAGTAAAATCAATACATCTATCGCAAATATGTGTTTGAATAAGCAGGGAAAAAGTATTTTAGTACGAATACAAATACATTAAAAACATTTTTTTATAAATACATTTTTTCACCTTATAAATCAAAAGAACCGATTTTACTTCATTTTATAGAGTATTTCACACTGATGTACCGTTTGGTGTAGCTATCAAAGTAAACACATCTGCTGTGTAAACAAATAGAATCTTAATTTAATTTGTTACGCGATTATTATTAATACTCACATAGAAAATATATACGACCAATATAATAATAAGACCAACGAGTATTTAAAAATTAGCATATGATTTTAAATACAGATAACTACTTTGAGAAAGTAATTAAAATACTTTGTTCAAGTGCTTTTAAAAAAGTATTTAAAATACGCGTAATTGAGTACTTAAAAAGTGTTCGATTACTTTTACCCAATTACTTTACAGGACTGCTTATAGTTAGTATACACAATCTATGTATACAAAAATGGAGCCAAAAATGTATATCCATGTATTCATCAATTGAGGAAAAACCCTTTTTTTAAAATTTTTTTTTTTTAAACTTTTTTAATGATTTTTTTTTTGAGTTCCGAGATGTTTTTTCGAATTGAAAAAGCTACAGCAAGATTTAGCTTGTAAAATTGTTCATATGACATAATTTTATTAATCGTTAAATGGGGGGGGGATCCCGGCCAATACCAAAAAAATGGATCAACATGGAGAAATGTGTCGTGTATTGAATATTATAGGTATTAATATTATGTTTACTATACAAAAAAGTTTAAATTTTGTAAAGTGATAATTTTCGTATCGTTTTTATTCCGTTCGATTTTATTTATAGCCGTAATTACCCTCCCTTTACATAAAACGCAATAGTCGATATACCTAGTAGAGAAAAGATGTACGATTTATCTATATGAAATATGATTATTCGATTATTACGATTTCATTTTCCATTTTCCGTTGTCGTTACCAGAAAAACTGCGTGAGTACAGTTTTATTTTTCTCATCTAACAAGACACAATCCTGCAGGATGGTTTAGATTTACAATTGGACCCGATAGGTCCGATCCACGGGGAGTTGCTCAAACAGAGATTTTAAGATTTGCGAAGAAAATATATTTGTTTACATACGGTTGCTATTGGTCATAGGAGAAATATAAATATATTTAGTAGAAATGGTTTTTTTTTTTTTGTTTACTGGTTGCCCGCAATGGTTCGTCGGGCAGGTCAGGTATAAGCATGCATAAAATTGAATTCTCGCACATTGCCTACCAAGGTGGCCAAGTTGCACTCATAGTCGCTCATCGGCGTGTCCGCAATCAAAACAAATATAAAACATATTATTTCAATAATAGACAGCAGGTAAGCATATTATTATTAATATACTGCTCTCATTATCACCATCGAGTCTCATATAGAGTTGGCATTTTTAACGGGCAAAAAAGTGCACGGGATCAGCCGGTAAACTATAAAAATAATACTGTTTATAATAATTTATTATCAAAGTAACAATACATTTAACGAGATTCTTAATGTACAGTAGACACATATTCAAATGATAATGTATATTATAGGTCACGGCGGAACAACTGCAGGTCTTTAATACGAAATAGTCACCTTAAAAAAAAAATTATTCACAATTTGTGAGTTCAATATAAATCGATATCTAAAATAATTTTTTTTATGTCTATACTTCGTACAGAAGATATGATGGTAACGAACCCAAAGCCGTTTTGGACATTTTAAAATATAATGTGCCTAGTATATTGATTACAGGCGCGTACACATAAAAAACGTCATTATTAAAATAATTTAAATTATTTTTAAAAACATTTATTTTTATAATATAAAATCTAATTGTAGAGGTAGTATTTCAAACATCTAAAGACTTCGTCAATATCAATGTAATGTATCAATTGACGATTGTAGATACTGATCGAGCACTAAACGAGAATGTAATTCATATTACGATGGAAATGCTAGAAATTTAATCAAACCAAACTAAAAAATAATAACATTTATTTCTTGAAATTTCGGGGGGAGGGGTTGAACCCCAAGAACCCCCCCTAACCTGACTGATTAAAGCTCAGTATTTCTATGTAGTATTGGACTGACATGTATAAAAGGTCACTGTTAAATTATAATAATTTTATTGTTAATACTATCAATCATTTGATGGATATAGTATGAAGAACATAATATTTACTGACAAAAAATAAATGAAAAATAAAAAAAAGATTTTTAAGAAAAAATCGTAACATTAAATAATGTATTTGATATTAAAAAAAAACCTTATTGGTGAACCAAAAAATTATTATCATTAATCATTGCACAATGTTTTTTATTGCACAGAATTACTCGCAGTGGTAGCAGTTGTAACGGAAGTCTGGTAAACGCCAACCGGATATCGTAAGTACATCTATGGCATTTTTATTGTTTGATCATTCACCTGTAAATACAATTGCATAAAATTAATATTTAAACATCGAAAATTAAGATTTCTAATTTGAGTATACATCACAATTTCATTAAAATCACAAAAATTCTCATGATAAATCTTTGTTAATGGCCTAATAAAGCTAATAATTGTATAATATACATTATTATTTATCATTATCAAAACAAATTAGAAAATTCGATCTGCTGTACACTACATTTGATGAATAGTAATTAAATTTTATTAAGTCATTATCAGTATTCAGTGGTTTAATATTATTTTGTTAACATTTCTTAACCCCCTAATAATATAATAATTGTTTTGAAATAATTAAAAATTTGAAAAAGATTAGTCCGTCTTTACATTGAATATTTATTTAATTTTTTTTCTTTTAAAATTTAGATTATGAGCGGAGCGATTTATATAATTAATAATGATATATTGATTTTACAACAATGTATTTTTCTATTCGTTTTTTTTTTATAAAAATACTTCAATTTCAGCTATGAGTGAGTTTTTGGAAGAAAACAATTATTATTAGGTGAAACAGTTATCTACAAAATAGATTTGATTTAAGAGACTAAAGTTTAAAGTAGGTTTAATATTTTTAGTTTAACACATCTATTAAAGTAATTATAGATATGTTAAAATTGTATAATAATAAATTAATAACAAGAACCGTATGAGGAGGATAAATCGTTCTTCCACGAATGAATAATAATTGATGTCATCAAAATTTTTAAACTTTCGTCTTATAAACCAACATTTTTTTTGTAGATAACTGTTGGATGATTGTTTTTCCAAATTATTTTAAAAAGTAAATGTGATTTTTTATTTTTGACTCTCTCTTCTCACCAAAATACTAATTGGATCAAATTATGTTTCTGAAACCCACTCATACGTCTTGAAGATTGAAGTTTTTTATACCAAAAAAAAAAACAAATAAAAAAATACATCGTTGTAAAATCAATACTATATTATTAAATATTATGTAAACCGCTTAGAATCTGAATTTTAAAATAAAAATAAAATAAATATAAATATTTTGTTTAAAGAATGACATCTACAATTTTTTTAATATTTCAAAACAAATATTATATTACCTATTGGTTAGTTAAGACATGTTAACAAAATAATATTGAATTACCTGTACGTATATTGAAGTTAGAAAATTGTATAGGTTGTAATAGCCAATAGGGTATACCTACCTCATTTGGTTTATATTTTCAGATATCAGGATTTCTTCCTGTCATGTATAAATATAATGATCCATCGAGCCAAGTCCTTTGGCCCTCGGAGACGTATGGAAGTTCATATTCTCCCAACAGATTGGCGAGTCCTTCGCATTGGTTTACATGTAATTCTTTTTTTCTTCCCTTCGAGATTGCTATACGTATTATTCGTACTTTCTCTTCCTCGTTGTCCTGCACATCGTACATCTGTGGGCAGAACGAAAAACTCAGATGTAGGGAAAGAGAATTAATCAACAGTATCTTATTATAATTTATTATGCATAATCTCTATCTGAATAACTCGGATTCACCAATGTGTAGTTTTTTCTGTTTCAACTTTTTTATTAGTTTTTCTATTATTTGTATGGAGAGATTGCCTTTAGATCATTACCATTATTAATATTATAACTTGTAATCATTATTATTTATTAGATCATCTGTTATAAGGGGACGCCATAAGGGTATTTAATTTGTGTCCGTCTTAACGTAAAAAATATCAAATTTTAAGCATACAATAATATATTTTTCTCTGTAATTTCTAATATTAGAGCGAATTTACCACTTAGGTAATGTACCGTGTAAAAGCAATAATATTATCTAGAGCATCTCGGAGGATTTTATTGATGTTATTATTTTTAAGTAAGTTATGACCATTTTTAAACTGTAGATTGTTTACACATTTTACAATAATATTGATTAGTGTATTTAGAAGTTTTAAATATAAAATTTATAATGAGTTTTCGTTCAATTTTTTTTTTCAGCAAGAATAGATAGTTGTTGATTGGTGTTAATTGACGATTGGACGTTATGTATAACATAGTACCAATATCAAATATAATTGTTATACAAATATAATAGGTAGGTATATTATATGTGATTCCCCAAACCGTTAAATGGTGTATGGTTAATTCATTTCACTATGCAAAATTATAAGTCAAGTTATATTGACTAGATGAGTTGGGGGGGGGGGGGAGCGCATATTTATCGTTTGCTAGTAGTACTATTTCCACTTAACACCTATTCGTTTTTAATTATGATTTAAAATAAGATTAACATAGAATACTCACGGCACATCTGTAGAATGATTTTTTATTTTGGGATTTTTCATTAACTACATGTTCAAGTAATGACATAAACTTAAAGCCTAGGTCGGCTAATATCCTGTTGTTCGGATTTTCCTTTGACAAACACTCAAATTGTCTGTGTACCATATCTGATAAAGCATAACAACAGAATAAATACATACATAATATGATTAATTTCTTTTGCTTAGGATTAATTGTTGCTGACATAAGTAATGGTGGTAACACATTTTCGTTTGAGTACTTACATCATGTACCTATTATATTAGGTATCTACTCAGTACATATTGGCTATTATTACCACCGTAGTTTTATATTGTGGGAGGATCATCGAGTATCATACTATAAGGTAATAATAGGAAAGATTATAAACTATAAGGAAGGAAGCAACAATACATTGTAATATCGTTCAACATTTAATAGGATTATTTTGATATTGTGGAAATGATATCCTACAAAAACTCAAAATCGACATAGACGTTCGCTCGGGAGTGATAAGATCGGTGGATACCTACCCTGCTGGCTAATTATTTTTCTCCAAATTAAGTAGGTGTTGAGTACCTATATAAATTGCTGCAAATTTTCGGTTATCTTATGTTTGAATTATGATTGTTATAATTAAATAATCTTTAATGCTATAAATGCGATACTTGTTTAATAATTGACATAGGCTGTGTGAAGGCTCCCGGTATCAATCCCGGGTCAATGTCATTTTGTCCACAAAAATAGACTATATGGAAATAATGATCCTGTCTAAGCAGAACCAACAAAATTTCATCGGTTTTTTTTTTTTAAAAGTAATTGAAGGTATTATTCTACAGACCGCACTGACCTCGGTCTTAATCTTTTTAATACATATCAATTTTTTTAATTAGTTGATATAAGATACAAATCTGAGTTTAATGCTGCCTGTAATAAGTCTAAATTAGACAATTCTACGAGGAATGAGACACTACTTTGTGAAGTCATTTTTGTTGATAAAATCAGAGTACCTATAGACAGCCACCCCCTCCCAACGAAAATTATTATAATTAAAGTGATAACGATAATACAAAAGAAGATTTTCAAATTGTATAGAATTTGAAAATTCTGAAAAAATCGCCACCAGATTTTTACAATTTTACTATAGAAATAAAAAGAGATGTTATATTAAGGCCGATGACAGATGTGTACCTAAAGCCCACACACTTCAATTTATATACATAAATTATAAATATACAAAATAAAAATGTGAAATATATATATTGCTTTCTGTGTAAACTTTCTAAGACTGTCACAGTAGAATCATCTATTCAACTTGTAGCGACATTAATAGGCAATTGTACGTTTATAGTGTACCTATATTTTATTTTAAACTTTTTAGTTACGAGTAATACATAATTCATAAGCTATAGTAAAAATAATATGCTCATAAATTTAGGCGGGGATAGTTTTACTCTAGCTTCTAGCTCAGCCCTTCCTTTCCCATTGTGCGGTAATATTAATGATTCGTTGTACATACTCTGAATGTCAATACAATGTCCCTTGGTTAGCATTGAACGTTCTAGCCACAAATGAAATAATGGAGATGCACTTAGTAGGTTGTCTCTTTCCATATAAGCGAATCCGTACACTGGAGTCGCTGTTTGTGTTGTAGACACCTCAAATGTATCCCTAAGTCCGATTGGAGGGCATAATAGTCCATTTAGACTATCTTGAGCTGAAATACACAAGAAAAAAATACTGCATTACATTATAAATGTATTTTATTATATTTGTTATTTAGTCGAGCTTATATACATCCTAGTCATTAGCCTGGGTTATTAGTAGGTGTATTTTACTATGTGGAGGGAACGGTTTGGTTCACGGTTGGAACGAGTCCATGTGAAAATCGCGAAAAACAAACAGCGAAAATGAATATCGCCTAAGGTTTTAACAGCGAAAACAATAATAGCGACAAGCGACAAGTAAGAAATTATTTTCGTTAGTGTGCATACCTTTATAATATAATAATTAATAAGTAATAAAGATAATCAATAGTATAATTTTGTAATCTTGTGTCTTGGATCACGTAATAAAGATAAGCCGAAGTTGAACCTAACAACTGTCAAGCTTTGTCATAGTAAATAATAATGATACCTAGATAATCAATGTCATTTTGTACTTAGGTACAAATCACCAGTCACACCAGTCCGCATTCCGTCCGTTCACCGTTGCCATATTCGTACAGTTATTCACTCGTAACATTTTCGCAATGGAATTTATATACTTATATATATTATAATTTTAGAAAAAATATCAAAGTTAAATTGTATTTTTTATAGTATTTTGATGTATTTTAAGGTTTTTAGGTAAAATGTATATAAAAGAATATTTTAATTTTCGCTATTATTGTTTTCGCTGTTAAAACCTTTGGCGATTTTCATTTTCGCTGTTTGTTTTTTGCGATTTTTTGTTCGCGATTTTAACTGGCACCCGGTTGGAACACGTATATATGTGGCGAGGATTTGTCACTAAAAACCCGGTGGTCACCCATCCAGCCATCCGAAAACTAGTGATAATGGCTGATGCTTGACCTCAGAACACCAAGCTACTATAAGTGTATAATATTGTTTGTACTAATACTATTGTTACTGTTTATTTCACGAGAGTTCAAAAGTTCACGTTCATTATCCCATAAAATGAACTCGTTTATTAGAAGAAAGTAGAAATCGTTCTTTGAAAAAAGAACGCGTTCATTACACGTTCAGTGTTGTTAGAAAATCCCTAGATATCAAATATTATTATTATCGACATTAACTACGACATTTGAATCGAATGGACATTATATGAACGAAAAAAAGTCATTTGCGTTCAAGGAACGATTGAACGCGTTCTTTTCAAACATTGACATAATATACAATATGCATAGCTATTCTGTAGCCGTGCCACGAGATAGATTTTAATCCAATATCGATTGGCATTGATAATTAAATATTACTATGGTGAGCCTCCATCACATGATTTCCCCCCGGAATTGGTAACATTGTTGGGCTGTTGGTCATCATAGTTTTCATCTCGCTCAACGGTACGCACCCACTGCTTTATAACCAATAGCGTCTCTCTCGACCCTCGTCTCCGGTTATCACGACCTCAACGCTCGAAAACCTCGTGACTACCGACGACGCCCGTATCCGTAGCTTTTTGTACATTACATCATTCTCCATCATCCTTAGTCATCGTTCAATTAAAACTATATTCAAAGGCATTGGTTGTTATTTATACGCTTTATATATCCGTCCGCCTAGATAAAAGCTGTCGGGGTTAGTCGCTACTAACCATAAACGTGAGACCTCCACTTTACTCTGACATTTAAAAGACAAAAAATTTAATTTACGAAAAGAGTTTAGGAAAAATTTTAGTAAAATCGAACGCTTTCTTTTTAAACACTGACATATAGGTTATAGGTACAATTTTCACATAATATATTTTTCTCGGTTCAACAAGAGAACTCTCAAACTCTGCGCATCTCCACGCAACAACATGACATCGAAACCGGTGTTTTCTAATATCCTCGAATGTTTTTACTCTCTGGGGTAAAACTATCCTAGTATGTTTTTACCAGGTCGGAGAGGGGTAAAATACGTCCGGATTATTTTTATACCTATGGTAAAAAGGTTCCAGAGGAGATAAAATCAATCTATTTTTACTGGTGGTAAACATATGCTATTTTGCTCATTTATAAATTAAATACAACACACGGTAATCTTTTAAATACATAAAACAATATGTGATCATTTTAAATGTAAAATATAAAAGCTTAAAAAAATAAAAATCACCAAGTTCGATTAATATACCTACAATATATTATATTATTATAAAATCTTTATCAATACTATTGTTATTGTTATATGGTAGGGGAGTACGATTATGAAGTAAAGCAAATAAATAAAATACATGTAAATTAAAATAAAATAACTGTCTTAAAAATTTAAATTATAACTTATAAAATGTATAAAATAATAAATAATGCTCATTACTCACTATGATTACGGATGATTACATCATTCTCGGTGCTAATCTGTGATGTCACATTTAAATATTGCGGGGCTGCCAGCACAGAGTAGGTGATGGCCAGCAAGAGTAATATATTTTGTTCGATGTACTTCATCATATTGTGAGTTAATTGAGAATTCAATATGAACAGTAAATAAAAAAAAACCGGACGGAATAAAGTCAATAAAAACGTGTCCAGGTCTACTGCTAACGAGAAAAATGTTGCAGTTAATGGCAATGCACTGTTACCACAAGAATGACCATAGTACGGCCAGCGAAACTGGTCGGGTGATTTTAGCGCCCCCAGTGGCGTTTTTCTAGTAGGGCAATCTACACTATTATTGCCCTACCGAAAAAAAGCCACCGGGGCGTTAAAATCACCCGCCTAGTTTCGCTGGCCTTACTATAGCAGTGCGCCCTGTGTGTCGTTTTATAAGCCGCCTCGGTTTGGTGGTGGTGGGAGTAGTTCCTACCACTGCTGTAACGTTGAAGTCATATGTGTATTATACCAATTTACACGAGAGAACAAAATCACAATATAATAATTTAAAAAGGGATTTCGTACGAAGTCGGATTCTGCCCGCAACAATATTCTGTTTATAATCCTTTGTAGAACTACACTTCATGCTTTTAGTGTCCTATTGACCGGTGACGTATATATGGGAGGGAGGGGGGGGGGGTGGATAGGCCCGGGCACGTAGTGAAATAAATTTCAAATGCAATTCAAAATCAGCAAGGAAATGTTATAGTGTCGGGTTGTAGCTATGCTGGTGGTAAATTGACAAATAGTGAAAATAATTCCTATATGTATACTCCACTGCCGCTGTCCGATTGTCTTTTAAAGTTTGGTCTGACCAGTGACCATGCACGTATTCCTTATAGTGTATACCTACTGCAGGATGTCTGTCTAGTATCAGTACCGCAACTGTATTTATAATGTATTTATAGACTAGATTTCAAGTACGAAAATTGTAGCCTTTTGAGTTATAAACAATTTTGGTTAATTTGTCTTCGGAGCTTGAAAATGTAATAAAATTATGATATTTTTACCTTACGTAAATTCGTAGATAGGTACAATATGCATATTATATTATATTTACTTTTTAAAACGAACTATACCGAATGACCGTACACATATACAGAGTACCTATGTACTATATTTTATACCTATACGCCTGCAGGCTTAATGACAAATTAATGAAGATACATATTATTATTACATGACTACTAAATACTAACATATTTGAAACAACTAAAGGCACCTAATTGTTGATACATGGCAGCCTCATCGCCCCCCCCCTACCGTGGTGTATACCATTGAATATAGTTTTAAATATATTAATACACATGCCACTCGCTCTATTACGCCGTAGGTGCATTTATGATAAATAAAAAGTTTGAAATTATTTAAAGCGAAGCAACTGAACAGAATATATCCTGTTCCAAAAGTGAATATGGGTAAGTAGTGTGGGGCAACCGGTTTTCGTGTTGCACTCAAATCCCACCTATGACACTTAACCGTTCGACCCGTCAATAATTCTATAATTTTATTATTGTACCACAGCCGGTTATCTAATAACAGTTTCACAGAGCATTTATTTCAGCGCCGTAGCCAGAAGGATGGTCTCCCCCCCCCTCGAACAATTTTTTTTATGATTACAATGGTGTCATGCGTGATGGGTATTTTAGTTCTATACAGAAAACCTCATATAAAAACCACGGCTATGTGGCACTGGTTGACAATATGTTAGTATTGCAGTGTGTCTTTGACCGGTATAAATATAATTCAGTGAATGCGTGCGTGTTTTAAATCAACTCTTATAGTACCTATGCCTACATAAAATTATTAATAGAATAGATGGTTTAAAAAAAAACTTAGACCTGTAATACATAGGTGATATGTAAAGCAAAGGATTTTTATTCGTATAAAACAGTTTAAAAAAATTAAACACATTTTGAATAGCAAACTGAACACAAAAACGAGGTACAGTCATAAAAGGATAAAATCTTTAAAAAAAGGTTTGACTTGATAAATACAATATATTTTTTTTTATTATTATTTCTAGAAAATATTTATATTATATATACCTACACTTATTTGGAGATACCGAATCATCAGTTAAATTTTTCATATGCCGTATTATACCACCTTAAAATCTGGTTGTGTGGTCTTGATTTCCGACAACAATACAAAAATCAGCGTCACGAAGTCGCACACCCGCTGACCAATCCATAAGAACTATGAAACAAAAAAAAACTGGTTGCAGCCGCCGTCACGTGTAATTCCTATGTAGGAATTTCGATTCAAAAACACCGTACATCTCGACGATATTTCAAGGTCCATCTGTACTCATTTTATACTATCTATACATGTATAGAAACACGATAAATACGATCTTCAAGAACGGCACCGTCATCGAATATTTATTTATTTCATTTTATTTTATTTTATTTATTTATTTATTTAATTGTGTACGCTCACAGTTGGGCTCAAACAGCTTTTTTTTACATATAATAACAAAAACAAAACATAATAACATAACTCATAAGCAAATTAACTTAATATTAATCTATTTAGTTTTGACATATTATATTAGAATTTACTATAGGTACTAATTATTATTTATTTATTTATGTTATTTCATATTGACCGGTTTCTCAGCAATAACTTGGCTTCTGTCACGTCTGCAAAGTTAGATTAATTTTCAATGAGGGTTGAAGTCATCATGGTTAGTTTAAGACATCACGGTTAAAATTTTAAACAAACTTAACTCACCTACGGATTGCCGTGCCATACAATATGTGTATAGGTATACAATTTGGATATTTATTTTAATTAATAACTAATTTTCCGCTCAACTTTCTTAATTTTTCAGTAGAACTTGGTATTTTTAAAATGTTTTTGATTTGTATTGGTTAATCGGGCAGATCAGGCTTAAGAAAGCATAAAATCGAATTTTAGTACATTGCCTAACAGGGTGGCTGTCGCCTGAGTTACACTTATATAGCCTAATAATTGGCATGACACAATCAAATTAATTAATAAAATTAAAATTAAACATATTATTCATATAGAGTGTGCTTCAGCAGGGCCAACAATCCACCGCAAGTAGATAGCCTACCTGATAAGATACTGCTCACATTATCACAAGAAAGTTTCATATAGAGTTGGCAATTTTAAAGATCAACGTAGTGCAAGGGATCAGCTAGGAAAGATATAATAATGATGTAATAGATCTTTGATTCGACACGACGCAACGGCTGCACACGCTATATTTATGACGTAGGAATACTTGCCAAAATTATAAACTGCAAACTAACATAACATTTTTATTAAGTTAAGGGTTGTATTTAAAACACCGAATAACTCGATTATAGAAATTGCGTTAGGTATCCGAAAATAATAATGCTTTTCTTATTGATATGCGATAAACGTGTTCAACAATACAAATTGTAATTATAATTTATAACAATAGAATCATTTTTTAATAACAATATGTGTATATAGAATTATTTGTAAATATTATTATTATTATTAGTAATAGTAGGTAGTAATAGTATTATTATTTTTTTTTTTTTGAAAGGATTTTTCAAAATTAGAATATTCTAAGTGGTTTTCTTATACATAGCTATATAATATACGGGCAAAGCCTTGACGGAATACCTCGTAAAATATATTTGAAACAGCTGAAGTACTAAGTAAATTATAGTTCCCAATATATTATACCCAACAAAAACACTACGCCAAACTCCGTGTAAAAAAACGCTCAGTATAAAAAAAAACCACCTCAAAAAGTTGTTAAATCATTTTATAGCTATGTATTTAAACTATATAGGAATAGATATATTATTATAATTTATATTAAAATTCACTGCTTATAAATTGAACTTAGCTGGTGACATTATTTTAAACTCATGAGAATTCATTTCGTATTGATTATACATGTTATCTTTGAAAATGAGTGATACTAATTAAGTGTTATATAAATTAATTGTTATAAATTACTAATTAGGTAAGTGTTATAATTTTAAAGTCACCAGCTAAGTTCAATTTATAAGCAGTGAATTTTAACATAAATTATAATAATATATCTATTCCTATATAGTTTAAATACATAGCTATAAAATGATATCACAACTTTTTAAGGTGTTTTTTTTTTATACTGAGCGTTTTTTTACACGGAGTTTGGCGTAGTGTTTTTGTTGGGATATCACTAATTTTTTTTATGTTATTATTATTATTGAATATATTATACGCGAGCCGTTACGTATTAAGGCCCCAGCAAATGTGTCATTTTTAAGGAGTTGTGTTTAGGTAATTATTTCGTTCCTGCGATTACTGATCGTCTTTGTGTGAGTAGTAAAATATGATCATTAGTGTGTGTATACTTCCCTACCATCACCCGCGACCCGCATCAATTTACTTATTTATTTTTAATCGTTGGATTATAGTACACATTATGGAAGTATTTTATATTTAAGCAATTTGTTTATGAATTTTAATTTGATATGTTACTGATATAATTTATAATTCCTCTAAATGCTATAAGAAGATTTAAATTTCGTTCATGTGCCACCGCCTGTTCTATAGCAGGATAGACTAATAATTGTACCTATAAAATATTATGTAATATATTGTTATTTTTAATTTTACTAATTTATATTTAATATCCCAAATGGGTAATGGGTACAGATAATAATTATAAGCAACACTTACTTAAATCTTTAAGCTATAAGTAAACAAAAAAATAATGATAAAAATAATTGTGTACAACATTTCAATTAATAGTTTTTAATTTGCCGAGTGAAAGTCAAAAACAAGAATCAAAATTTGATATAATACTACAATGGTGTCAAAGTTAACACTTCTTACTATAAGCAATTAAGTGACCAGAGCAATGAAGATACTAATAATTAAGAATTTTTAATCGGGTTAAAAGTTGGTACTTTAAAATTGTATTCATTTTTTCAATTTATATTTTTACATTTAAAATAAAAAATGTTTTCAAAACTACTCACGGCGAATCAATAGCTTGTAAGTTAACTTATAAACAAAGCTACATAATTTAATAAAACAAAATTTATATTTTTAGAATCCGAAAAATTATGTTCTTCTAAACCAATACCAGTTCTTACAATGTATTATTTTGTACTGTGATCACCACTTAAGGAAGGTATTTATTTTGAAAACCCTTGCACGAACAGC